CGGTAGCCTGTTCCAGGCGTTCAGATAGTATAGTGCGGCAGTCAGATGGTGGGGAGGCTACCACTTCAGCAATTTTTGTGTTACTTCGTTTTGGGTTAAAATGAGCAAGACCCTCGGAGGTCACAGTCACTGTAGCCTGCACTGGAAACACTGGTGTTGTTAAACCGAAGGGAGAGAAAGGAGTAAAAATAACCAAAAAACTAACCTGCGCTTGCCACGCAGGCTTCAGTTGCTAGCGGGTAAAAAAAAGTCGCATCAGGGGCATTTTAGTGGAATGCACACCTGGAAGCACGAGTTTCCCACATCCGCGACTGCTCGGTAACACCCTTTAACATCGCCCCACCAACATTCTAATGAGAGGAGAAGCGGGGAGAAGCTGCGATCGTCAACTAAAATGGGAATTAGGATCCATAATGACTGTGTTTCGGTTCTTAGCCCCCTTAACTAAAAGGTAATATTCGTGACTCGTGAAAATCGGTTTATAACCCACGTGATAAGTGAAATTTGCCAAAATTTGTACGTGAAACGGGATCAAGACCCCTCCTTTGCTACCCTCACTATGGCATGGCCAAAATACAAATTTGTTATGTTGGAACACAGTTTCCTCTATATCTATGAGATACACCTCAACTACGCTACATGTATCTCAAAGTTAATACTCGAAAAAATACTTACGGCACATATTTCTCCTGTCCATCTCTAGAAATCTCTTCCACTTCACTTTCCAGAAGACTTTCAATCGCGATGTCAACATCCAATCGAGTCGCCATTTTGAAAGGAAGTAATAAGCTACTGATGCGCACGCTCTTTATAGAAGACCTCACTCAGCGATATCACGGGCTCAGTTCATCTCAGCATGCAAAACAACATGGCGCAATGACAGCTGTTTGAGAGGGCTTGCCTTGCTGGAAGTAAGTTTTAGACAGATTGGTTCATTTAATCCCCTGTTTCTTGAAAGAAACCACATGCCTTCTTTTTTTCGCAGGTTTTTATGAGATTCCTTCTATTTTCAGTTCTCCATGTTGAAAATTCGTACGTTTTTAATTCTGACGCCAGTCAGCTTTCGGCAGCGTTCAACCCCGATATTTTTCCGCCTTTTAAAGAAATTTTAAAAATTTTAAGTCCGCACCCACTGTCTTATGTTTATATACAGTGAGAGCATTTTTACGTATTTTGCCGTTTAATTTGCTAAACGAATTTGCTTGGCTTAATTTTGTATCCGCGCCCCTTTGAAGAGCGGAAATGTGTATCCTGGTACCAGAGGTTTTTCTTGAAATTTTTCTTCGGGAAAGAGAATGAATTTCAAGAAAAACCTCTGGGACCAGGCTAGAAAATGTGATGTGAGTTTAAAAATTCGATAAGGGCTTAAATCAGTGGATACATGCTATCAAGCTTTTGAGAGTTATTGATTCAGGGATAAATCAGGGTTTTTTTTGTTGTCTCTGTATATGTAAAGTGTAATGTAGCTGCTGATAGCGTATTCTTGGTGTAATCAACACACTTTTAAGACTTTTATAAGATACTTCGGATGACGGGTAGATGATAAACCCTTTTTCATTTGAAAGATGTTAGATCAAAGATGTTGTGGTTTTCTTTCCGGTGTGATTTTGTTTGTGTATGTCTGTGCATGCATGTGCCATTCCTACTAGATTTAACGATAAGATTTCTGTTCAGACCCACTCATTTATTATGCATAGCAGCAGTTTCATACCATTTCACACAAATAGTAAATATGAACAGAGTCAAAACATGTACACATAATAAATGTATGGAGGTGTTTTGCAGAACACGGAACAGCCGCTGAACACCAAATGACTCTGATGTTAAGTTAGGGTCAGGAAACTGAGCAAATCAAGTTTCAGGTCAGTTTGCCCAGTATAATAACCCTAAATGGAACCTGAGTACCGGTAACTCAGTTTCCTTACCTTAATCACTGAACTTCAGAGTGATTCATTAGGCATTCTGGAAAATGCTCTTGCCAGGAGCTTTACAAGAATCTTTTGCTGCTCTTAGCTTGCCTGATAGAATTTCTGCAAGGTGCCATACACTACTAAGACATACCATACCCTTTTGTTATTTCTTAGCAACAAACAGCAAAAATAAAGCCTTGATTTCATAATTTTGTCGCGCAAATCCCAGATGATAGATGATTTTACTGACTTATGAAAATTTGTAGATATCCTCGTCATATAGGATGATCAGGGATAATAGGGAGAATCGGAAGCATTTCTATCTTTCCTATGCATCCCAGATATCTGCAAAGGTTAGCAATCAGTCCTGACATATGAAAATTCAAATTCTTGTTGGGAATGTTGAGGATCAATGCTTTAGGTCCCAATCCTCAAACACCTTAGCTCTTACAGTCTTAGCTCTCGTATTCTTCCCCTAGTAAATCAAAATGGTGTATGGGACAGACTGTTGGATTTTCCTGACATATGAATACCAAGCTTAGAGAGAATGGATTGTAATCATTAGTGAAAAAATTAATATTTACAACAGTCCCTTGCTTAGTCCAAAATATTAGACTAATCCTCTTATAGATGGCTTTCACAGCGTCATCAAATTGTTAAGTCAAAATAGCGAGATTTTACGAATTCTTATTCACACTAAGTTGAAGACAAACAAAAAGTTAATCTTTGTACAAGTTTTCATTTCCATAGCATGTTTCATTTCGAAAATACAGCAATTTGAACTTTGAGTTTTCACAGTGCGTGACACCAAAATAGGAAATATTATGCCGTCTCGTGAAAAAAAGTATCTCCTCTTGATTTTCAGCAGTATAACCATTCCAAGTATTAGAAGATATTTTTATGCGCACGTATGCTAGTTCTCGAGTGAAGAGAAGGAGCTTTTATAGAAAAAGTATACTCCAGATGTTTTTGTTGATTTTTGGACGCCATATTGGTGCACCAAAACGGTGCACCAATATGGTGTCACCATACAAAGCTCTACAAATGTGGGTGAAATGTTTCGGCAAATAACTCAGAAACTGTGGGCCACAAAGGCCTGAGACTTGGACGAATTGTTTAAAAATTAGTCTTTAATAACATTTCATTTTCTTGGCTTCTTCCACTGGACGATTTCCAATTTTTTTTTCGTTGCATGACAGTGAAAACGATCTATACAAAGGTGGTCAACATACATGACTGGAAAACATAAGAAATGATGCATATTTAGCCTGTACACAGACGTTGTTTTATTTTTATTTTTCTTCTTTTTAAAAATATCAGCGTGTGTGAGAGCGAGGCGAGCGTGCGAGCGAAGTGAGCGAGCAAGAGCGAGTGCGAGGCAAGATAAAGAAAAATAAATAACATCTATTTTCTTGTTCCCCCAACCCTACCCCCTTGCGCTGGTGGTCAATAAATCCCTCACGGTTTATTTTTAATCACGCGCACTTGACAGACTTTGAATAGAAAATAGAGGGCCTCTGAACAGGCTAATGCATATTAAATCAATCTTGCATTAGGTGAAGAAGTGAAATTTTGCAATAAAGAAATAATCATTGTAGTTCCTATTTAAGCAATAGTAACAGGTATGCGATTTCAAAATGAATTTTTTTTCAGTTTCTGCCTTAAGAAGCATTACGCATTATGCTGCTTTAAGCAGAAACTGGAAAAATGAAGTACAGTTCAGTTTGTCACTAAACTGTTCTAGTATGTATATGAAGAAATGATCACCACAGTTATAATAAGCACAATGCCAAATAATATTTTGTGATCATTTCTCTATATAATACTATACATTCACTTTATTAAAATGCACTTTGAAACGTAGGTAGGAAAGACATGAATGACAGTTAATGACAAAAAGGCGGGAGTTTGACTTTCACACTTTTCTGTGTACACAAGCATGTTTTAGAATCTTCTTCCCTGTTTTTTTTGTTGTTTTTTTTTGGCTTAAAGGAAAAAACAGTAGTTGCTAGTAAATGGTATCATAGACTTGAGGTATTATTGCTATTGTACTTAGGGAAATAAATATTTATAGTTTATGTCTTTGATAAGATGGCAAGGTGACATTTTATTTGGCTCCAGTCTGTCTCATACCAACATGCACATGTAAAAATAACAATTTTCATCTCCACAACATGTAGGAAGATTTTACAATGTTGATAGATTTCTGGGGGTTTCTTTTGATTGCTGCATCATCTTGTGGCTTATAAGTATCAATATTGCCCTTTGAAATACACAATGCTAGAAAATACATCTTCGAATGATTGTAGCCAAACATGGCAGTATGAAATGCTCTGCCATTTTTACATCAGAATTCATGAAGGTGTGGTTTCTTATGAGACAAGAAGTACTTTGACTTGTATTTTTTCCAAGTACACATCAGCACACAGCACGAGCGTGCCATATTGGTCCTTATTTTTAGCCGTGACGTTTTATCTGTACACGTATTTACTTCTGTTTTTCTTTCGAATAAATGGAGCAAAGTCCGAAAAAATAATCGTTCACTGAGAAAAATCCTTAAATCTTGCGCCTTCCCGACATGACTGAATCATAAGTGAATTACTTGAATAAAGCACAAAGACGCGTACAAAGACTAGTTTAAATTCCCTAAGAGGCAAATATTTGCCACTATTTGTTCAAAATCTATCAAAACATGTTTAAACTGGCTATCTTTGTTATTCGTATGAGGCCAACATGGTGTTTTGCATGCACTTTTCAGGTTTTAAAAGCACACGAAACATGAATCCTAAGAGCAAATTGCTTTAATGGGTGACATAATTTGTTTTCTTATTAAATAGATGTCACGTTTGTTATTTTTTTTCTTTTAGAGACAAATCTATCATCGATTGCACACCGGAGATCAGTTTCAGAAAGCGATCAAGCGGAACCAATGGCGTGAGTGCAGTCAGCTGGGGCGTATCACGTGATCAAGTAAAATACAACGCTATTGTGTAGTTGATAATATTCAAACACGAAGTGAAATGAATTGACCGTGGCCTCAAATGTAAGAAAAATCAATTTCACACCCTTCCGATCAACGTTTTTATCGCCATGGATGGTTTGTACCTGAAAATAACACAAGAATTTACCCCTGACCCAAAAGAAGCGAGGTTCGGTGGGAAAGAAGCACCGATGGCGGTTGAAAAAGGTGATATTATTTTCGACGTTCGCAAGCTCGGGGATGGATGGTTGTGTGGGAAGAATATAAACAGCGGAAAAACAGGAAAATTCCCCGAAAATTGCGCGGCCAAACTTTCGGGAAGTAAGAATGGAAACCCTGAATCCGACAAGAAAGATGAAAAACCTGCTGAAAAGAAAGACTCAAGCAAGCCCTCGTGGCTTCAAACACGAGCGAGTTCCAACACACCTTCTGCCAAGAAAACGCCTGAATATCCTAAACCTTTCGCCGGAAATATCAGGAGGTCGAGATTGAATGACAAAGAAGAGAAAAAGGAAACTTCGGGAGATTCTGGAGTTGTAGAAGATTCACCTGAAGGAAATTATGACAACGCTCCCGATGAACCAAAACCAGCGAACCGCGACGCGTTGAAAACCGGAAACAATGTCAAGGACGATAAACAGAAGGAACCGAGATCCCTGGCGACAAATCTTCAGACAGATCACAAACAGAAGCCAGAAGCAGCCAAAAGGAGTGACCCAGTGAAAGAAGCGAAAGAACCAGTGAAGGCTGCAGGTAGAACTTTTGGATTAAGTTTGAGGAAAACTCGTGACGCTTTGAAACCGACGGAATCGGAAACGAAGGCAACTCCGAGTACAGGAACGAATGCGAGAAATTTCCCGCGTTCGACCCCCGCTCCACAGAAGGCTTCACAGGAGGATTTAGAAGAAAATTACGAACCTGTTGAACAGAAAAGCGAAGAGAAAGGGCCATTGCTGTCTAAGGTAACAACTAAAGCCAGTCAACCGAAGAAGGAAGCGAAAGCAGCTGACGTTAAGGCGGCAAGAATTAACCCGATCGATAACCCGAAGAAAGAAAGCGAGAAAAATCAATCAAACGTGACCACTACTGTCGCTGCTGGGGGCACCGGAGTGAATATTCAAGAAAACCCTCTCGGGAAAGACGAAGGCAGTATTTATCAGGTTCCTGGTGTCGCTGGCCCGCCAAAACCGAAGCGAAGTTTTCCGTCAGGTTGCTCCGAGTGTAACGAACCTCACATCTACGATACACCGATGCATTACCAAACGCCACCCGGGTCTCCGACCGCGGCTGACAAACGAGATGGGCGCGAAGCAAAGATCGAGAAACCGAAAGAGGCGAAACGAAAAAGCGGCTCGACAAGTCTGAAGCCAACATCATCAGTGATTAAGAAAACCAAGGAACACATAAAACACCGCATGGCTTCGTACGAGGACATTGAGTTAGAAGGTAGACGTTCGCAAGAGAGTTTGAAAGACGCCGAGCACACTGCTAAGCGAGAGAAAGAGAAGCTTCTCACACCGAAGAAGCGACCCAGGTTGCGCATTTTACTCGGCATACTTTTAGGTTCACTACTGGGTGTGTTCCTTTTCCTAGCGCTATATCTCCTGGCCAAACTGCACGTTCTCTTATGCGCCATTTCCGCTCTGATAATCAGCATTGTTGTGGCTACAGTGTTCGGGTTCCTCGACAAAACTCGATTGCAGTGCATCGTTCTTCTCATTTTCCCGAGCTTGTTTGCTGCAGGCGGAAAAATTGCGTTGTGGTTGCTGATCACGTATTTCATAATATCAGGCCCGGTTTGCAATTTTATTAACAACGTACGAATTGTTGCTGTTAGTAGAGAATGCTTAATGAAAAGTGACAGTTTAGCAGACAATAGCAGCATTGATCCGCCTGGATTTGTCGCCGTGAATAACAACAATCGAGCCGTTGTACAGCGATTGCGGACCTACGAGAACCTCTCCCACTCACTTCTGAGTTACATTAACAACTCTTTGGCGTTTTCATCATCTGATCGGAATGATTATTTATCTGGACACGACAATTCGTCATCTGGGATCATTTGCATGAACGCTTTTCAACGTGCCCACAACATCTGCTCTTTCGAGATCAACAGTATTTATGAAGAATGCAACAAAACACTCGCCTCGCTGACAAAATGCGAGTTCATCACTGCAAAGAACGCGTGCGATCACTTATCAAACACTTACACGAGAAATACGTGTGACAACATAAACACTGTTAATATCGACACCTTGTTACATATTAAGAAAATAGTAGAACAAAGCCCCGAGAAAATCAAAACAAAAGATGATGTCACTGCTGTTACACCAGGAGAACTTTGTCAATTTATCCGGATTGTCGAGATACTTTTGCCATTACTATTATTGGTTTTATTTTACGAAGCGTACAGGTATCACAAGCTCTATCTCTCTTGCAATGAATTTGATAATCACTACCTCACGCTTCGGTTCAAATCCATCGAAGACATGCGCAAGTCGAGCGGCGCCGTTGACTTACTGGTACCGCTGAAGAAGGCTGAGCTTGAAAAGTTTGTTCAGCCCACTGCTTGCCGGCTGGCAAAGTCTGAGAAGAAAAACGTGCTGAAATACCTGCTAATTTACCTGATTTACTTGCTGTTTGCGCTGATGTTCATTTTACTAGATCATTTCTTCTATGTTGTAATCACTAACCGGGAACCACAGTCCAATACAGCTGAAGAGTGTCATGCAAAACTGAAGAGTCCTCAAGAGTTTTACACCATCACTTTGTCAACTCTACTTGGAGTGTTACTGCTGATTATATTGCTTCAACCGTTCCCGCTTCGCTTGCGTCGCTTGATCTCTTCGCGATTCTACCCTAGAAGAGAGAAAAAACGCATTGCCTATCTGTATTACAAACTCCTCGAAAAGCGCAAGACGTTTTACAAATCTGTCATTGAGAACATGAATAACTTTTCAGAGGAAACTGAAATTCTTAATAGACTTGATGCAGTTTTGGTTCTCTGCAACAATTTTAGCTGGTTAAAAACAGTGCTGGAGTTCGTAGGAGTGAACATTCGCCGATGCGCTGTTTGCGGAGCAGGAGTAAATAGGAAGTATATTTTCTGTGATACTGAGGACTGTGACGTCATCTACTGCCGAACGTGTTTCTGGGACCTGGAAAATAAGTGTCTAGGTTGTATGAGTAGTAGCAAGATGACGTCACGATCGTCGAGTTTGAGTGGTCAATCACAAAGGAAAAAGAATGATTACGTTAAACCTGTGTAAAGCTTAATGAGTAGCCAAAGACATTTGCAGATATTAATTTTGATCAAGTCGATATAATATAATTATTCCAAGGAGAAACTGCAACTTACTTGCCAAGATTTAATCGAGCCAAAACTCAACATGGCATGGCACTCGTGCATTAAAGAAGTTTTATTGAATATTTAAGAGACGCAGAAACGCTTTTGTGTCCGTCCTAAAAGCAGAGTCGTCGAAAGCAACCTCTGAGAGAAACCTTGTTTTTATTCCACTGTTATTTAATGGTAGAGTTATAACCGTAAACTGAAATCATCAATTAAGTCTCGTTTCGTTACGTTGAAATTCACTGAGAACAGTCGAACTCTGAATATCTGGACTATTCGGGTCTGGAATAAAATTGACGAGATGATAAGAAATGTGAATTGTAATACTTAAATGTCTGACTTAGACGGAAATAAAACTGAAGGAATTTAAGCATGAGCAAAATGTTGTCTTCTTCAATGTTTAGTGTCTACTTCATCACTTTTAGGCTACTATGTTCACACTATAACCAGGTTTCGTACAGAGTCTTAAATTCTTAAAAAAGTCTTGAAATTTGTCCAGCTATTTTCCGGACCTGGAAAAAGTCTTGGACTAGAGTTAAAGCCTTGAAAAAATGAAAAAAAAGTCTTGAGTTTTTTTGAAAAGGTAATAAGTGCTTTATAAGTGAATTTTTTTGTCGTTTTTGTCAAATCTTATTCAATCTCGCCCGTATGTCAACACCTCACCACGAAAAAAGCTTTGTTCCTGCTTTCTTTGAGTCTCTATTGATTAGATAAAAAGGGGAGGAGGCGGCCCTTCGGCGGCTCTTAGTTTGGTCTAAAAATAAGAGGGGGCCTGGGCACCTCCCCTGGATCCGCCACTGGTTTCATAGATCCTTACGATATTTTCAGACCCTTTTCCTCTCAGAGCGAATGACTGAGTCTTGTACGACGTGTGAACGAAATCCTTTATTTGAGTGTGAATGTATTTAACACGGGAGTCTGGAGACGCGACCGCCATTTTACGTGGTCATCCGAGCCAAAAATAAAACATGGTAGTTCTTACGTTTAGTCTGTGGATGAAATCCATTGGTGTGATGACCATTCCGATGAAACCTCCTTGGCACTCTTTTGACATGGTGTTATTTGTTTTTCAACATTTTTTACAAAGTGAAATTTGAGTAGTTTTCTTGCTGTTGCAGACGCCGGTGCAAAAAATTTAAAAGACACCGAACAATACGTTAACGGTCGTAGACGATGACACAAAAGCCGGGGAAATAGTTGTTTACTCACCACGTCCCTTCGCAGGTAATTCTCAAAGACCTGTATAATAACCTATACAGCGAAACTCAGTGAAGTGCTTGAGTCTCAGGAACCGTTCCTTTACCGTTTCTTTCCAGGAGCCCACGTGAGAGCGGCGGAAATGAGCCTACAGGTAATTTTGTTATTTGAAAGGGTCTTCAATAACCCAAATCAGTCTTGTTTTCTGATTATTTGTTAAATGCTACAAAAGGATATTATGAGTAGGTATTTGAAAGGGTGCATAAAAGTGGTATCTCCAGATCTCTCTCTTTCCCTGGAAATAACAAATCGAGTTGACCCTGTGGACGAGGCACCTCCTAATCCCGGGCCCGCGATACAGACCAGCGTCACCTAAAAATGGCGGACGCCGAAGCTTTCCAAGACCGTGAAAATCTTATCAGTCTTTCTGCTTGTTATGGTAAGGTGTACGCCTGGGATGTAGATGATGTAATCAAGATGCGTTCACAGTATCGCATAGTTGGCTCTCTGATAGGATCGCTACCTCGCAAACCGAGACAAAACAATGCTTTCTCTTTGCNTCTTATCAGTCTTTCTGCTTGTTATGGTAAGGTGTACGCCTGGGATGTAGATGATGTAATCAAGATGCGTTCACAGTATCGCATAGTTGGCTCTCTGATAGGATCGCTACCTCGCAAACCGAGACAAAACAATGCTTTCTCTTTGCCGCTTCTTCTTTCTCGAGAGGAAACCACGTTGCTGCTAGACAAAGGTTTCGCCAGAATCTTTTACATGCCAAGAAACCTACCGAAACCATCAAGTGAATTGGTTGGGAAGTTTAATGAGCTACGCAAAGAAAGTGTCATCAAGCAAAATGAGCAGTTTAAAAGGATGCATGAAGAGAAGAGAAAGGAACTGGCTGATGTAATAGCTGATGGCAAGAAAAGAAAACGAGAAAAGCTTGCTAGTATTGCGGCAAAGAAGTTGCAAGATCAAAGTAATGAAAATCAGTTCAATTTTACTTGTAATGAAAGCAATGTGTTTGAACAAAATGATGAAGGAAAGGAGAAAAGCAAGCGAAAGAGTGGAGAGGTTACAGTTGATTACAAAGATACCAATCTTGCAAAAAAGCTAAAAAGCGAAGAATTGAACAATGAGAGTTTTGAAGCCAAGGAAACTAGTGAGAAGAAAGACTTAAATCAGTCAAATGAATATTGTAAAAAAATCAGTAATGAAAATGTCAAAGAAAGCTATGAGGGGTTGGGTAGCAATTCTATCACAAAAGAAGCTAATGAAACAAACCTGATCAATGCAAATGCTGATCAAGAGAACCATGGAAATAAACTTGTGAATGAGACTGGACTACAAACTACAAGTGATTCAGATACTAGTGTCAAAGGACTAAACAGTGTTTGTGACATGGGAGTATTGGTACATATTCCTACGGTTATGCCGCAATTGCTGCCTTCATTTCCACTTGCAGACTGGACATATCCTCAAACAAGTTGCGAAAAGCTACGTTACCAGGTGTTTGTAGACCTCTGGGAGAAGGGATATTATTTAACGTCTGGGGTTAATTTTGGAGGAGATTTTCTGGCATATCCCGGTGATCCCATTAGGTATCACTCCTTTTTCATTGTAATTATTGTTCCCTGGGGGAAGAAAATTACACCATTTGAGATCATATCAGCTGGCAGACTGGGTGCTAGTGTAAAGAAAACTGCACTTCTTTGCTCAGTAAGTGATGAAACTGGCCAAGTTATATACACATCAGTCAAGTGGAGTGGAATAAGCTGAATTTTAACATTTTCACTTCATGGGAAACCATTAATCAGAACACTTCATGGAAAATCCCAGAAGTCTATCATCATTAGTCTTTTCTTAGCCCAGTGGCAAATAGGACAATATTATTGTCTCCCATAATATCATTCAAAAGTACTTCAAGAGGTGTCATTTAATTTACAATGCCATAAAATTTTATTCAGAAAAGACTCCAAAGTTAGAACCTATTTATACGTGAATTATTATTAAGAGCAATTTTGTATGATTGGAAGTATGCATATGTGCACATTTTCGGTTATATTAAAGGCTACGAGTCCTCAGCTTCTACATTCACAAGATTTAGATCAACTTTCGCTGCTTAGAAGGAGTGAAAATGATCAGTAATGTTTAGTTTATTGGCTCAGTTATGCTGTAATCAGAATGATATACCTGACTACAGGTCGAGTGCAGTTCTATAATCAAAGGTGATCTTGACAGGGGTGGATCCAGGAATTTTTGATTAGGGGGATCCAAACTTAGGGTCAGAGAGGACTGTTGAACTTTATTGTGGCAAATTGCTCCTCCCCCACACCCCCTCCCACCAGTCGCAGTTGCATGCATGTTATAATAATATTCCTTGGCCCCTTACCGTGTACTGGATCACTGGATGAAAAAATGGATTTCCCTTCAAATTTGCTTATGTGCAAAAGAGTGCAAAGTAAGAGAAAAATATGTGCAAAAGTGGTAAATGCCAAGTTTGCACACCCATTTGCACCCCTGTGTAAATGGTTTAGCACATTCGGCATTTACCACCTTTACACAGTCTGATTTTACCCTTAGTTTCGCACACTTTTGCACACGAGCAAATTTAAAGCAAATTCATTTTTTCGTCCAGTGAATTCTACTTGCAAAGAATGCACCCTTGGAACATCCTCCTCTTCTGCTTGGTAACAAAGATCCTCAGTACAGATTTCATTAACATCATAGAAGGGTACCCATAAACAATTTACATTTATGAAGATCCCTGGAATTTATTTCAGGTGGCAAAATGCAATGCGCGTTTCATTAAAAAAAATAGCCAGTTAAAAAGTGATATACGATCCTGTCGATGTAAGAATTTCAGTCTCAAACAAGCATCAGGTCTGATAAGGGGAACCGGACCCCCCGGGTACTCCCACTGGATCTGCCATTGCATAATAAGAAGTTGGCGGCAAATCTTTGAAAAGCTTTAATTGAAGAGTGAAATTTCCTAGGATAGAAATTTCTTACGATTGTGTTGTCATTGAAGGATATCAAACTAGGACTAAAAAGTGCTATGGGAAGAATTCCTTCCATTAAGCTGCAATCGGTAGCTGGTTGAGAATATGCTTGTTCAAGTCAAAAGACTGCATAGTTTTAAGTATGGAACCAAGCTTTCTGCAGTGTGGACGAAGTGACACAGAACTATTTGGTACCAGATCGTGAGTTTTTCATGGTTAAGTTCTAAGAAGAATGTCACACTGCTACTTGTACTCTTGGTTTGGTTTCGGAACCAAAATATTGGATCCTTTGTCAGTTGCTTAGGTATAGCTGTTAACAAGGGCTCACAAAGTGAGCCCCAGTGCTGTAAACTAAACTTGAGTCAGCTATTCTTTTCATGAAGCGTACAGAATCCAGCTAGTATTAACTAATGGATTCTTTGTTTTAGGCTGGGTCTTTTCCTTTTCTTGCTCACTCTTTTTTTTATTAATGGGTGTATGATGTTTCATTTCAGTGGGAAATGCCTGGGGAAAATTTTGAGGATCTTAAGAATTAATGGGCAGAATGAAGTGCAAGACTGGGCCCTGTAACAAAGATTGTCATGGGAATTTTCTGGTCAACTTTACATTGATTTTGGCATTTCTTAACTGGCCTATTTGATGCATGGCCACTTTGTTGTATATGATACTTATAGTGATATTAGTGAAAAGTAATATTAATAAATTATTAATTATTATTATTGTTAAAGAGTTTTCTCTGTCATCTACTAGTCCAGAAACAGACGAGATGATTAACTTAAAGATGCCGGTTGAAATAAAGTAAATAACGTTAATGTTACACTGTATCTCAAGTGTCTGAGAGTTTTTTATGTAAACCATATTTTAACTCTCCAATAACATTGCTAAGTCAATACATTCAAATTATCTGAATAAAATACAACCATTGGGCTGGTGACCTTTCTTTCAAAAGTTCCTTAAATTTATACTAGTCAGGAAACAGAAGAAATAATGCAGCTTTTATTAGTAACAATCATTCAGCACTTAACAAGCAAATTGCAATAAATTATTTTTACACAACAGTATAAATGTTCAACAAGCTAAAAAAGAATTTTATACCTAAAACAAGGGTACAGACCTTACAGATATGATAAAATACAGACAGACAAATTTTAACTTACATAACATAATTAACAAACGTTGGCAATGCTTATGATCAAACTTCATTTTACATATTGTGTACTTTTACTTAACCCATTCACCCCTGAACCGCCCGTAACCGCCCGTGCGGATCCATGTCCTTTCTACCCTTTGTGACGTCATCAGTTTTAACGGTCAAGGACAACTTTGTCCGCTAACTTGTGCAGAGTGAAGAAATCTTTCAAACCATACCAGAATGAGCACAATTCAGTCAAGGACACTGGAGAANGCAATGCTTATGATCAAACTTCATTTTACATATTGTGTACTTTTACTTAACCCATTCACCCCTGAACCGCCCGTAACCGCCCGTGCGGATCCATGTCCTTTCTACCCTTTGTGACGTCATCAGTTTTAACGGTCAAGGACAACTTTGTCCGCTAACTTGTGCAGAGTGAAGAAATCTTTCAAACCATACCAGAATGAGCACAATTCAGTCAAGGACACTGGAGAAAATCTTGTTCCGTTGCCCACCTACCTTACCTTTCACCTAATCCTAAGATCCTAAAAGCTTTCCTAAAAACTATTCCCACCAAAATGAAGCCTACGAAATGCCCAGCAAGAGAAAAAAAAAATGAAGCAAGAAAAGTGAAAAAAGAGGGGAGGAGAGAAATCGAAATTTTGCTTTCTGCGCATTCCCGAACTTCGCAAGCTGATATTTTGCATCTGGATCAGAAGGCCATCAAGTGTACGACCTGTAAACCGGTTTTGTGGTAAGTTTTGGTTCTTTATAGCACGACGGTGACCAGAAAACCACTCAACTAGCTTCAAAACGCGTTTTTCGGCAAAATCTCCAAGAGCGAATGGGTTAAGGAGTTAGGAAAATGCTTACTAAAGTAAAAAGTGTTCACTACAGGTATTTTGTGGTTGCAGTTACAAAACAACTTGGAATTCACCTTCTGAGCATCAGATTTCGTGTGTAGTTTCACGTGACTTTTGATGACCTTCGTTGTAAACAAACCCACAAAGTTCGGACATCTGTTCTCTCTCACATACTGTAAATGTTGAACTACGAGTCGCTACTTCAAGTTATCGTTAACTTATATATTTTCCTTCCCTTTCGCTGTTTGAAAATCGAATAGTTTAAGGTTCAAAATGTCAAAGAGGAAGATCTGGAGTGACTTTAACCGCCTCGAGTGTGGTGTTAAAGCTGAAAAAATATTCGCCGGTACACGGAGTTTCAACAAGCACATACAAATCTCCTCTTCAGTTGAAAGAATGGTTTTGCAAGGTGGATCTACACTTGAAGAAAATGAAACTAATGATGCAGACACATTTATAATTCATTATACGGCAGTGTGCTTACATTTTCGTCTCGACCACCTTTCATACGCTTATTATAAGCAAGCTTATGCTTATCTTGGCTGAAGTATAGTACACTGCCTCCTTTTGTCTCTACACGATTAAATACGAATCCAGTGTATGTTCACAAAAGCCTGCATTTTTTTGCTATCAGAGACATCTTGATTCAACCTCAGTGAGTTAATACCATCAACATAACCGTCATCAAAAGTGTTGAGTCCCTGTTTGCCATAATATACAAATTGAAAAGGAAAATGTCAAACAACAAAGAGTAGCGAAAAATTGGATCGGAAATTAATAGCGTGTGATCACGTGCGATCATGAATTTTGAAATGTGAATTATGTATGTATCATGAAATTTGCCTACATCACCGGTTTTATCTCTTTCGAGGTGTAGTTCCAATGTTAAAACCATTTCAGCTGCTGAGACAGGAAATTCCACTGCAAGCACTCCTCATTCCTGCCGTAACTTCTGCCGTGATCTTGGCCTAATTAAAATCGCTCTTATTCTTCTGCTCAGACATTTTTGAACTTTAAACTTTTCGAGTCTCAAACAGCGAAAGGGAAATAACATTTTATAAACTAACGCAAACTTGAAATAGCTAGTGTAGTTCGTACAAGTATAGTATGTGGCGGAGAACAAATGTCCGAACTTTGCGGGTTTGTTTACAACAAAGGTCATCAAAAGTCACGTGAAACTACACGTGAAATCTGATGCTCAGAAGGTGAATTCACATACCACACCAAATTATGAAAAGACATTCGATGCACCGAATCAAAGACCATATCATTTTCAAACTGTCAAATTGTTGTTCCTTGTG